CCCCCCCCCCCCCCCCCCCCCCCCCCCGGGAGGGGCCATCCTGGACCCAACCCTGGCCCGTACGTGAGTATCACAAAGATGTGAGCGCCCAGTTTGGGGATAGGGGCACACTTGTGTTTATAGACTAAGCTGTAAACGTTTCAGCCTTGTAACTTTGTGGACCTCGAGATAAAAATTCGGTACAAACGCACACACACACCCACAGACAACCCCTCGACAATATGCGTTTTTGCATTGCATAAATGCAAAAACCGCATAAAAAGTGCAAACACAGAGGCACAGAGACGGTCTTTGGCCAATGTGCATTTTTATATACTGTAGCAGCGCTATAGCGCTGCACAGCGAAAACGTACAAAAGCATGCATTCACGTGCATAAAAAAAATACACGCAAACGAAAAAATTTCAACTAAAAGGAGTATGGGAGTGAAAGTATGAAAATCAAGAAAGAAGAAAGTCGGAGAGCACTAACAAAGCAGCTGTTTGCAAGCCTCCGAGTAGTGTTCCATATTATATGGCGTTGTATTTGTATCCGAAATAATCCCTGACATCAGCCCATAATTTTCGTTTTCATTGACAGCGTTTTTAATGCCCAAATAAATTTCAACAAGCCACTGGTACGTGACAACGGGAATTCCCATTTCGCGACATCTTTCTATTTTTTCACCGTCGCACCTAAAGCAAACAAATGAGTAACGCACACTGAAAACAAACTGTCTCCAGCAATCTTCAAATGCTTTTAGGCAGCAAAGACTCATCGAACTACTGTTAGCAGTAATGTTCAAAAGACGCCTGGTTCTTGCAAACCGTAACTTCGCAGAAAATTTTGAGATGGGAAAATACATACGTTTTTGTAATCAAATAATGGTTATGCTTCGTAAGATAGGGTGTGAAGCGCGCTCCGATGGCTGTGATCATCATCCGAACACCCGAGCGTTCACTTTCGTTGAAACCATTTATCGCTATTATCTTCAAAAATAACTGATTTCTTTGTCAATTTCTTTTTCAGCTACTGCTAGTAATCAAGAAAGGCCGGACTTTCATCGTAGAGCTGTTGCTGTTACTAGAATTCAGCCATAATTCGAGCACTCTTGTGTCTGGCAACCTCCCGACCAGCAAAACTGTACTGTTTCTACGTTTTGAAGAGAAGTGATAAGGCGTTACTTTTCCAACAGCTGGACGATGACTGTCGGTCCAGTAAGTTGGTAAATGAAAAACACGCCACGGCGCTTCCAGGTGTTTTTTTGTCAGCACGTCATTAAGCCACTGCAATGTAACACATCGTTTCCGCTCCTTGAGTGCCTATAAATTTTTAAATATTTTTTCGAAATTATCCTGAAAGAAAAAACTCTAATATGAAAAATGCCTGTCTCGTACATCCAAACTACACTTAACTCTATATTTTGAACGGACTAAGAAATATTTCTACACAGATGGAGCTAATCAGAAAATCATGACTTTGCGGACTAAATGAAAGAAGCTTTCCGCATTTATGGGATGCGGTCATACGGTGCTCACAAATGCGCTGTTCTTTCTGCTGCGCAACCTGCTTGCAGTTGTCCGTTGTATCTGAGTAGGCATTTCAACGTACTTTTCAACCATTTAGCTGCCACCCAGAGATATGAAACGCCTACCTCGCAATTTCACTAACAATTTTGAAAATACCTGCTGAGCTAACTGGTGCCGCATTGATTCGCATATGACGTGAGTGACCCGATCACTGTTCACATTATTATAGGCTCGCACGCCAAACTCGATTTCACCTCCATGAAGCCGCACAACGGCACTTATTTCTTGTACGTCCAGGCGATCAACCAGCACTTTCTCATGTTCAATAACCACAAAGAAGCAGCCAACTAGGCACATATCAGACAGAACTGCAATTCACTTACCATCATAAACACGTGAAATCACAACATCTAAGTTTCTTATTCGTTCTTGCATCTTATGCAAATGCAAAAACGTAAATGGTCGACATGTATCCGCCTCTGTGTGTAAGTTGTGTGTGTATGTGTCTGCATCTGTGTATATCCAGAGGCGAATGAACTTTGTAGCCCACTCTCAACTCAGCCACGGGCAAAGCTGGGACGCTGAAATTTTAGGAATATTTCCCCATCCATATGCCGAACTTTTACTTTAAAATTAGCCATCATACACGCCCGAATCTCACGTACAGACGCCTTGAAAGAAAATGCAAACTTTTTGGCGGGGAAACGATTTCGGTAGTCGGCAAATACAGGGTACAGAAATTCTGCAGGAGTAACCTCTACCCATATTTGAGCTAAAGCTTTGAAATTAGCTGTTGCGCATAATTGCGTTACGCATATAATGTCAAATTCCATTGCTGGCATCGTACCAGCTTAAGAACTAGCTGCAAAAATAGCTGTAATTTTTCTAGAGTATTACCTATCCAGAGAATTGTATACCTAAATGGAATTTCTAACTGCACTTGCATCATTACGGCGCGTTAAAGATATCTGCAGCAAACTGGTGATTTCGGGCATCGAACAAGCTACGATGCAAAAATTATGCAGGGTTATCCTATATTCATGTGTGGTTTAAATTCGGCCTGGAGGCTGAACTTTCAGCACACGGAAATTACAAGTACTAAAATTGATCGCAATCTCAACCCAGGCTGGAACGCACCAGGCTTGCCGGAGCGATCAAGCGCTTTTGCATTAAACTCGCAGATCGCTAATAGCAGGAATGATCCTTGCGCTGTAGCCTAACACTTGGGCTTATATTGGTCGTGCTTTGGCCTATTCCGGCATGCAGGAGAAAAGGCGTCGGCTGGGATAGAGGAAACAAAGGCTGGAACGCACCAGGCGAGCCGGTG